TGTGTGCGTGTGTGTGTGTGTGTGTGTGTGTGTGTGTGTGTGTGCTGCAGGGTTGCCTCTATATTTGGCTCTTTTGAGTCTCGCTCAGCTGGTCTTTTGCCGCAGTCCTGTTCCTTTGATTCATTCACAAAAGCAGCCACACGTCAAACGCACAGAGAAAAATAATGAATGAGTGCTGCAGTGATCGCAGGTGCTTCAGCCATCACAACGCACAGATATTCAGACCTCAGCAACTACAGATGAGATTCACTAACAAAATCAGTTCTGATTAATGATTATTTTAATACTTTTAAGGAAGTGAATAAAAGCTTGATGGGATAACATTTGAAAATTAAGAAATTAATACGTATATCAGTATTCCAGATACTGTAAATTTACATTTTTTTTTTCTTAAATAGGGTTGCAAAGGGGCAGAAAATCTCTGGTAAATTTCCAAAAACTTACCAAAATTCTCCAAAAGTTTCCAAAAAATCTGGAAAGTGTCTATAATTTACTGGAAATTTTCCACCACATTCTTAAATACCATTTATTTTATTAAAAAAAGTTTTACCGTACAATAATATTATTACTGTAGTAATATATTTCTTATTTTGCTTAATGTGCATTTTTATTGAATAATTAATCAAAAAAATTGTTGTTACTATAGTTTCTTTAGTTATGTTGATACTGATATTTTGAGATAAACAAACAAACACAGCAAAAAAAAAAAGTTGTATTTTAAGTTGTAATCACAATTTTATGTTTAAAAAAACATTACTGTCCAGTGCTTATTGTTGTATCACTATTACTATTTTGAAATATTTTAAATGTTTTAATTTTCTGCCGTCTTTGTAGTTTAAGTTTTAGTTGTCATTTTTACAAATGTTTGTTTTTGGTTTTTAAAACGTATTGTATGAGCCTGAAAAAAAATCCTGATGTATCAAATATGATACTCAACAAAGTTCCTTTTCAAAAAATATTTTTTTAGATGGTTAATATCAAAAATGACACATTTGAGCTTTAACAAATGCTGTCCTATGATCCAGCCTGACTCAGATCTTCTGACGTGTGCATTAATCATTTACACTCAGACATAATAATCACATGACATATTGAATGGCTGAGTCTTGGCTTGATTTTGCAGTGACTGGTCCTGTGTGTCTCTCTCTGGTTCAGGTTTTGTCAGCAGGTGCTGCGTCTCGATGCAGATGCTCCGGGTGAAATGAATAAGGCACCTCAGCCTCTGTCAGGACCCCCATCTGCCCCGCTTCCCGCGCCCTCCCTGGGCCTGTCCCAGGTAACTCGCATCACGCTTTCATTCATTTTCTTTACGCAAGTTGCTGTCTGAAATGTTCTCCCGCCGCATTTTGATTGACAGGATATAATCGGATCTGATCATTGGCTGTTTTCAAAACCGATTATCGGCCGATATATCGGTGCATCCTTAAAGAAGTAGTTCACTTCCAGAATAAAAATCTCCTGATCATTTACTCGCCCCATGTCATCCGAGATGTTCATGTCTTTCTGTCTTCAGTCGCAACGAAATGAAGGTTTTCTCATTTTCTAAAAAAAATAAACATTTGTATAGTTTTTAACCACAGATGCTGGTCTTGCACTAGCTGGACTTCACACATGATGTAATCACGTTGAAAAGGTCACGCGTGACGCAGGCGGAAGCACCGACCCAGTGTTTACAAAGCGAACGTGCAAAGAAAGTCAAACGCCCTTTACAAAAAAATTTAAAACAACGATGTTGGAGGAGAAAATGAGAGTTTTTCACCTTACTCTTCCTTTCTGAACCGGAGCACACAGACAAAGAGCTGACCGCGCGCGACCTTTCCAACGTGATTACGTCATGCGTGAAGTCCAGCTAGTGCAAGACCAGCATCTTTGGTTAAAAACTATATAAATGTTTATTTTTTAATAAAATGATTGATGATTTCTCTAGATAAGACTCTTATTCCTCGGCTGGGATCGTGTAGAGCTCTTTGAAGCTGCGCTAAACTGCAATTTGAACCTTCAACCCGTTGATCCCCATTGAAGTCTATTATATGGAGAAAAATCCTGGAATGCTTTCCTCAAAAACCTTCATTTCTTTGCGACTGAAGACAGAAAGACATGAACATCTTGGAAGACATGGGGTGAGTAAATTCTTTTAAGGATGCACCGATATATCGGCCGATAATCGGTATTGAAACAGCCAGTGATCAGATCCGATTATATCCTGTCAATCAAAATGCGGCGTGAAAACATTTCAGACAGCAACTTGCTGTGTCGTGTCAAATTCATGGCTGTTCGAGTTAACGCTTAATTACTGTTAATTATATATGTATGTTTGGATAAATCTGTCATGAAGACAAGTTTTTAAGAAAACTACCTCATGTGCAATTAAGTTGTATACAAATGTTTTTATTTGAGTGTGATTATTATATCTGAAAATAAATAGCATTGAATATAATAGTGTTGTTGTTCATTTTAACCTCTAATATTATGTACCAGTGTATAATTTACATCATTAGTTGGGAGACATTTGTTATTTTCTAATTAAGAAAACAGAACTATCGGTACTGGTATAATCGGATATCATTCTGAATGATCGGCTATCGGCTGAGAAGTTCAGTATCGGTGCGTCTCTAATTGTGATCTATTTGGTAAAAAATTATAAAATAAATAAAATTAAATAATAAAAAAAATAAAAATAGTATTTAAATAATTAAAAAAGAAAGAAAAAGATAATAAAATTAAATAAATAAATAAATAAATAATTTAAAAAGTGGAAAGAAAAGGTAAGATTATAAAATAAATACAAATAATTAAAAAAGAAAGAAATTATTTCATATTAAATAGTTAAAAAAAGAATGAAAAAGTATGATAATAAATATAATTAAATAATTAAAAAAGAATAAAATTAATAAAATTAAATAATACACAAATAAAAATAATACTTAAATAATTAAAAAAGAAAGAAAAAGATAATAAAATTAAATTAAACAATTAAAAATAATAATAAAAAAATGGAAAGAAAATGTAAGATTATAAAATAAATACAAATAATTAAAAAAATTATTTCAAATTAAATAGTTAAAAAAGAATGAAAAAGTATGATAATAAATATAATTCAATAATTAAAAAAGAATAAAATTAATAAAATTAAATAATTAAAAATAATACTTAAATAATTAAAAAAGAAAGAAAAAGATAATAAAATTAAATTAAACAATTAAAAAATAATAATAATTTAAAAAATGGAAAGAAAAAGTAAGATTATAAAATAAATACAAATAACTAAAAAATAAATGATTTCAAATTAAATAGTTAAAAAAAGAATGAACAAGTATGATAATAAATATATTTAAATAATTAAAAAAGAAAAATATAAATAATTTAAAAAAGAGAAAGAAAAAAGAAAGTAAGAAAAAAAAAATGTTTAGTTTAATGACAGACATTTTTACAGAAGCTCCGTCTGGATCTCTCATGTAATGATGCATGTGTGTCTCTGTAGCCCAGTTTTCCTCCTGCTCCTCCGCCGCAGATGAACCCCACGGCCCAACCCCGACAGGTACAGCAGCCCAAACACGCATCACTTCCTGCTGCGTTACTGGCCCCTTCATTTCCTCCTTCGGCATTTCAGGATTTTCAATAAAGAACCAAACCAGCCAGCTTATGTCACATTTAATATAACATTTTATAAAGATATAAAACACTAAGGTATCCCATAATGCAGAGATTCCCAAAATCTGTGAGCTAAAATATTTACTTATTTCAATAATTTAGCACATTCAAATGATTACATGACATGCAGGCCAATCTTTTTTAGTGAGTGTTTTATTTTGAGCTCTTATTTTTAAAATTATTTTAATTTTATGACCAGTAAAAAATATTGTTGGGAAACCCTGCAATAAAACACTGTTAAAGATAGAATCAAACGTTAAAAAATTTGTCCATTCTTAATTTTTTCCAAGAAAATGTTTTTTTTTTAAAAAGGATGATAATAAAATATATATAAATAAATAATTTTAAAAAATAATAAGAAATATTATTAATATACTGTTATAGTATTTTTTGATTTATTAATAATTATTAATATTTTAAATGTTGTTTTCATTTGAATTTTTGTTTGTTTTGTCATTTTTTTATGTCTATTTAGTTTATTAATTTGCTTTGCTTTTAGTTTTAGTACTTCAGCTTTAAATTAAAACTGGTGTTGCTTCGGGATCTTGACCTTTGACCTGTACGTGTGGCTTTCTCTTTCTAGTTTGCCTCCGGTCCGAGAGCTTTACCACAACAGGTACTAACACAAACACTCCCACACACAC